TAAATCCAAATTGGAACTCCTTTTGCAATTTTTCCAGTGAATCCACACATGTTTTGTTTGGGAATGCAACCAATGGTTTTTCCGCTAACAGATTTTGAGTTGTAGGGAGATGGCAGAAGTTTTCCTCCTTCACTTGTTTGATGAGGAGGCCTAATTTTACTTCAAATGCTTTGACATGTGATTGCATATCACAGATGAGCTTCCCCTTTCCTTGAAGTTGCACATTGAAACTGTTGAGTAGCTCTGTTACATCTGTCAGAAAGGCAAGGTGCCATTTCCATTCTGCATCATTGAGCTCTGGTATTTCTTTGTTTTTTTAAAGCAGAAAAGCTGTAATCTGTGGAAGTAAGTCATAGAAACGTTTCAAAACTCTCCCTCGACTCAGCCAACGAACTTCTGTGTGATACAGAACATCTTCATAGTCAACATTTAGCTCGGACAGAAATTCCTGAAATTGTCTGTGGTTTAGTGCATGAGCTCTAATGAAGTTAACACAAGATACCACAAATTTCATAACAGAGTCCCACTTCAGTGATTTACTACACAGCGCTTGTTGGTGGATGAGGCAGTGTATGGCTATTGGATGAGAATGGTTATGTTTGTCCATCTCTTGGTTAATGCGAGCAATTACTCTTTTCTTAGACCCCACCATGCTAGGAGCACCATCAGTTGTCACACTGGCTAGTTTAGCCCAGTTCAGCTCCAAACCATTCACAGTTTGGCAAACCTTTTCATAGATATCCTCTCTTCTTGGTTCTTTCGGTAAAGTCACGTAGAAGGGAAGTAATAAAATAATAAAAATAAAACATAATAAAATAATTCTCACGACGTTTCGGCCACAACGCAAGCAGCCGTCCTCCGGTGAAAACCAGGTCTGTCGGGGAGACAGCGTCTGAATGAAACAGCACACGAGCTTATTTTATCTTTTCTCACTTCTCCGACCAAGCAATCATAAGTATCTTTATGTTGAGTTTCATAGTGTCGACGTAAATTGTATTCTTTGAACACAGACACTATATTCTGGCATATCAGACACACAGCTCTTTCCTTGTACTGCATGAAAAAGTAATCATAAGTCCACTGTTCTTTGAATATCCTACACTCCGAGTCAATTGTTCTCTTTCTTGACATCATTGTTTCCTAGGGAGTCAAAATTGCTATTAGTAAAATACCAATATATATACAGCGCTACAAAAACAATATACCAGCAATAACGATGCCCACACAGAGACACAGACTGCACTGCCCATCAATGCAGTCTGATTGGGGGGAACTCCGCCCCCTCTCCCTCTTCCACCAATGACCGTCCATCTCATGTAGAAAAAAAGTAACAGGCAGCGGCGGCAAAAACACCCGGCGGGCCAGATAAATGTCCTCGACGGGCCGCATGTGGCCCGCGGGCCGTAGTTTGAGGACCCCTGGTTTAGAATAACAAAAAAACTAACTTTTAATGTACAGTATAGAGTTTAGGTGGCCAGGGTGGTCTTTGGAGGTTAAGAGAATTGAGCTGACGCTGCTGAGATCCTGGGTTCGAGACCAGGCAAACGACCTGTGGTTACATCGGGGTCTCAAGTACAGCGAGTTGATGGTCTCGGCTCAGTGACCAATGACTTCACACAAAGCGCCACATTGAAATTAGGCCCCGTGCTTATTAATGTCACCAAGTCCCAGCTCTGAGGATTGGACGGATCAGCGGTGTCATTCAGCGGCGTGGGTGGGAAAGTGCTGCCCCCTACTGTGTACACCGGAGGTCACGTCAGGGGACCTTGGAGATAGAGTCGTGTAAGCCTTGTGATGCCCGCGGACAAGCATTGCCATGTGAGAGAGCTCCCAAATGGATGATTCACTTTATGGCGTGATGCCGACAGCACAAAGAGGAGAAAAATGGGGGGGGGGAAAGATTATTTTTTATCCAAAAACTCTATCGAGTTACCTTGTCTTGTCAGGCTTTCATGACAGAAATAATGTTGTACGCACATCCACAACTCTTCCTGGTACCTGCATGTCTGAGAATTTGCAGATAATTGCATTAATGGATGAGAAACCTAGCCTTGGCCTCATACTTCTGGCCATGATGAAGTCCTTGAACATATTGCAAGGCTAACCGTAGTGGTGAATGTTTTAAGTGTTCCCATGGGGTTGTCCATGTCACATCGTACGAGTCGCGCACAACCGGTAACGTGGCGAAATGCAGGCGACAACAGGGATTGTGCGTTACGTAAATATGGCTTGTGTTGTTGCTCTGGAGGCCGGGAGATCGATGATTGATGTTCGGTCACCGCATTAATAACATTCGTCGTGCTTTCTCACTTAACAGAATGGGCCGCGTGAAGTCTGCCACCTTCCACTCCATTAAAACCAGCATTGTGCGACTGTGGCCATCCAGAACAGATCGTAGCAACGTATAACGACGCAATGGCCGATCCACAAATACGAAGAGACATCACAGCGATACACTCCACTTGCTCCTGCGTCGGTTGTCTGGGCCTGATCACCTGAATGTACAAATGTTGTTGTTGCTTTGCATCTACATCAGCGGCCGTACGAAAGAAGAAGATGTACATTTGAACCTTCACTTGCTTGAGACAATTCTGGACTCATGCTGTCAATCACAACAACGTCCCTCCGTCATCATAGATAAGATGGTTTAACCTCGAATTTGAAGAAACTGCATACATATATACACGTAGACACAATATACGACGTGACATCGAAAATATGTGATGTATTATCTTCACACAATGTTTGTATCTTCATTCGGATTATAAAGAAAACGGATCGACCTCAAAAGATTACCAAGCGAAAGGTCAACTCAAAGACGAAGCATGCACACCTCTTATTTGCATTCTAAGGAGGTTCAGCGAATCTGAGATTAATATTTCTGCCCACAATATGCGACTCTTCCTGTTGCACAGATTTGCTCACCTCGCATATCCTGATATGTAGTTGTGCGTGTTATGTACACAGTATCACGATTTCACACACTCCACTTTTATAAAATTACCCCCGTGCAAACTTGTCTCATAGGATCGGCTTATTCATGCGACATTGAGAATGATGCATAATCAGATACGATCATGGATGAGCTACTGTAACCGAAATTAATTGTGACAAAATTGAGGAAGTGGGTAACTGGAATTTCTTCCTGTGATTATATATATTACCCAGTTATCAATTACGTTTGGGATTGAGCGGTTGTGCAGTGGTTCGCGTGGTATGTAATCAAACTGGCGAAATGTGTATTATATATTTATGGCCATGGCTAACATTAGTGGTGAGTGATATCTGAACGGGTCCTGCTCCCATTACAATCCCCTCCACCAATGCGCACTGACCAGCGGCTGTTGAACAACCAACAATCACCCCGACCGACACGGCATGAGGAGGCGTTTCATCCAGCAGTGGATTGACATAGGGCTTTAAATTACCCACGATTTTCATGTCTGGTGCCACGGTGGCTAGGAGATGTTAACTACCTCGCCTGTTATACAGGAGGTCGTGGGTTCGATCTCGACCCTGACGCCTGCTGCTGTGTATGCGGAGTTTGCGTGTCTCTCTCTCTTATCATCAAGGTGGCAAGATGTTAACTACCTCGCCTGATATACAGGAGGTCGTGGGTTTGATCCCGAACCTAACGCCTGCTGCTGTATATTTTGAGTTTGCGTGTCTCTCTCCCTGTGGTCGTGTGGATTTTTTCTCTGGGTCTTCCGGTTTACCCCTCCACATTTAGAAACACGCGTTGAGAGCATTTGGCTGCGACACATTTCCACACGACAATACGACACTTGTTAAGTGGACAAGTTGGCTGCTCCCTAAAATCCGCGATTTAGGCTCAACGATCCCGCGGGTTATGGGAGGAGTCACAAACCGCGGGTAATCTGCGATTATGAATTGGAGCGCGAATTGTTCTGCTGTATTTCACTTAGAGGACGTTTAAATCTTACCAATATTTTTTATTTGATTACAAATTGGGTTGAGGTAATCTAGGAAATAATAGCATATGTTAAGGATGATAAACCACCTCAGAGCATTCCGGAATAAATGTCCGATAAGTAAAGTAAATGTGTGATTATTCAAATGTCACGCTATTTACGACACTAGATATATAATATTGATGAATTCAAGTGAATAAAATGTTGATAAAATTGCATGGGTAGAACATAAGGACAGATTTGTATTGTACAGCACATCAAATGTAAACATACATTCTACAAAATGTGACCTTTTTGCAAGTATCAAAGTATTAAAACATAAGAATAGGTTTTACCTTGATTAGGGTTTCTATTTGATGTTTGAACATCTTAACACCAATTTTTTTGCCAGAAAGAGTAAAAACATTCTTATTTTTTCATACATGCCATAATTATCAGCTTTTGTTGTTTTACGTGTACACGTAATTAAATTGTGTGAATTTATTTAAATATTTGTCTAAATTTTTTTTATTTTGCTTCTGAAGGACCTTTGCGGTGCCTTCAGAGGCCTGGCTGAACAACCCTGGCCTGTCCGGCGTGAGACGGGAGGAGGCTGCATTATCGACCTAACAGGTGGTGCCCAGGCTGGAGGAAGAATCTAGGAAAATAGGCTGTACGGTTCGCACACAAATCACATCTGCATTTAAGGCAGGGGCCATTCTAAGCAACCACATAATTTGGCGAATTAATCGCCCCCCCCCCCATAAAAATCCCAAGATAATATTGCAATCAACGAAGCCTAAAATATGCGTTATATGCCCGAAATACGATCCCTGACAAACGCATTGACATCGCACGGAGGGCATATCCAAAAATCCATCACACTTACATGACCAGGCCACCATTTATATCATGCCACTTATGATAATAACAATGTGCATCTGTTATAAGTACTCCAAAGAGGGGGATTAATTGCCGTTACAGTAATTATGGAAAATTATAGTTCTGTTTTTCGATTAGTCCGTGAACGTTACGTGAGGTTGCCACCAGAGGGAGCAGTGGGTTTTTCTCAGGTTTCTGTGAGGTGACGAGTTGATGGATGGCCCCTATGAAATCTCCATGCATTGCTCCTTCCTTGCCTCCTCTGTTCACTGTGTTGAAATAAAACAACTCGCGTAGAGGTAGCTTATATTTTACTACAGAGTGTCAATATTTACAGTATATCAATACAGTTTACATCTTTTCACCCGTGTACGTGGGCGTCAGCAGAAATAGTAACATTTCACACTCGGGTTTTCACAAAATTCCTGTGTAGGCGAAGAGGACAGTACTTGAGCCTTATTATTGTCTATATATTCTTTAACCCCACAACACATGATCGCATTTTACCCAAATAAAAGCATTTTAGTAGTCTACCGCATTTTTATCAGCCGACGGACAAAAACATTTCAATTTACTTTAAAGAGTATTCACATAGATTCACCGCATCTTTCAAGATATGAACGAAGATTGTTTGCAAGGAATGCATCATTTGCAAATGTTTTAACACCACATTCCTTTGTAGGTGCCGATATAATTAACTTACATTGTATATTACCACATTATACGAAAAATATTGGAAATAAATAGACTTTGTAACATAAACACTTTTAAAATATGAAAGAGGTAGAAAGAGAAATAAAGCAACTTTATTTCATTTGTATTCTCACAAAGGCTTTTGTGCTGAATATTAACTTTCATACTGTGGTTTCAAAGTAGCACGCAGAATTTAAAAGTCAATAAATATTTTTTTTATCAACACCTAATTCGTTTAATGTAAGGCATTTTAAACAAATTATAACGCCCCTATCTATACTCCTGGAATAAAAAGGTTCGTTTCGTGTACACTGTATATATGTAATGTAAGCGTACAGTTGGTAAGTGAGGGTTTACATTTGATGTCTACATGTGTTTTCAGTACGGTGCAACGTGCGTGTATGTACAGGCCTCGTATATATGCATGGATGTATGGATCTATAATGTATTTAAATAAAACACAAAGCAGCATATGTGAAAATATAAGGCGACTTCACGTTCCATTAAAAGTAAATGTTGAGCACTACATTCAGCTATACACATTTCCTGCATAGTTTTAATGAAAATAAATTATACGGGTTCATTAAGTTATAGGAATATATAGCCTACATTTAATTTATGCAATCATTCCAACACGACAATGTAAATTTCCATAAAATTCGGCTCTTGAAATACAACCTCAAACCAAGGAATACAAATATTTAAATGCAGTCATTGATCTTGAACACGGTTGGGTTTACTGCGATTTGAGAGTATTAATTAACTAAAATTAACGTCAAATTTTCAGGTCTCCATTTTCTAAAACATGCAACGAGATATAGTTCAACACTGGTATTTAGCATACAACACACTTTCAAATAATCGCACTTTACTCAACCGCATATGGGATCATTCTACAGTCCAAAGTAAATTGTCGCACAATGAGTGCAGAACTCACGATTGTGTGGAACATCAACTTCTCTCCTCGTACATTCAGTGTATTCATTCATTTATTGTCCCCCCCCCCTCCTCACCTCCCTCCTGCTCCACGCTAACAGCCTCCATCCACTAATCCACCCTGCGGACAATCTCGTTTTAATTATCTCTGATTGAAAGCAAAAATCGGTGATCTGCAGGCTCACCAAATGAAGTGCAGTGAATCTAGAGTCGACTGCATACAATAATTAAATGCGTTTTTATCAAATGTAAAAAAGGTCGGGAGTATATCAAGTGTTATACTGAAGCATGTCTGACAGCTGGCAGAACGATGCACATTAGCAGCAGGGAACGCAGTCAGCAGTCGGTTGTAGCACGCTGATATTTTTACACTTCGTGCTCTGCATCCGAATCCCGGGGATCGCGTTCAGCCTCAACCAGAGAGCTCATGTGCAGATCAGTGTCGGGCGTCTCTAGGCGCAGGTTTACGGAGCCATATGTCCTGTTCGTTCGATAGCCACCCATTCTGTGCCTGCGGTATATTTCGCCCTTACAGATGGACACTAATAAAAGACAGGATAGGATCATTCCGCCGAGGGTCAGGAAACAAAGACCAGCCACGATGCACTTATCTAAATTGGTCCCAAGCCGCGCGTAATAATTTTCGATTTTCTCCATCTCCCTGGCCGACACGGAGTCTGGATCAACCCTCGCCTCTCTCGGCACCAGGTATGCGATGACCACAAGGACAATTCCAGCGAAGAGGAAAATGAGGGAGATGATGAAGCCGTAATCCACAGGTTCACCGTTGTCATCGGCCGGGTACGATTCACTGCCAGGCGTTGGGGTCATGTCGACAGCCCTCGGCTGCACAGTGCGCCTCGACGCCGACACGGGGCTGATGGCCACCAATTCCACGTCCACGTAGTTTTGCGAGTGCCGCCTCGCCGTGTTGTTCACCTCGTTTGTGCCGCAATTTTGCGCCGTGAAGGATGTCTCTCCCTGACCGCTCGGTTGCACGCCTGAAGATCCGCTCAGGAGAAGCCGAGCCGTCGTTGCAGCTGATGTTGCCGTTGCTGCGGCAGAGTGTCCCTTTGGATCTGTCCATGGTACTGAAATGGAGCCTCGACTCTGCTGGTTGGCGGTTGGCCCGGAGGATGATGGACACCAGCTATGAGGATAGGCTCCTGTCGTTCTAAGAGGAATTTGCTCCGAGGATTCCATTTGCAGCAGCGTGAGCAACAACCTTTTCTCACCAAATCTCAGCAAATTATTTTAGAGACACTCAAATTACTTTTCTGTAAGTCCTGAAATGAAGAAAAAAGACCGGTGGATTGAGTATTTTTTTAAAATGCAGGCTGAGCAAATGCAGCCCAAAGTGCAGACTGAACACAAAGACAAAAACAGAAGGATGCTTTTCTGCAGTATCGTAGCATTATAACGTCAGAAAATAATAGCTCGATGCTTGTGGAGAGAATTGCTATTTACCAGGAGTAACACAGTGGCTACCTAAAGTGTAAAAATAAACAACCGCATAACACCCACACGGTTTCTGGCCAGCTCCAACAATTGTGCTGTGCACATGCAGCATCAATACAGGATATACTGTATATCAATATATCTATTAGATGGAGCAAACTATCGAAAGACACGTTTTAAAATGTACCAGTGGACGAATGCAGTACAATAACAACAACAACAACGGACACCTATGTTTTCACATATAAAACAAAACAGCCTTGTGCAGGAAAATAAAATATATGCTAACTCTTTTGTCACAATTAGGTACAGCGTTTTATTCGCGAAAAACGGTCGTAGCGATGTGCAACTTGTACAAAAATAACCTATGGAGGTCAGTCACCATGCACACGTTACGAAGGGTCATTCACGAAACGAGCACCTTCACCATACTTTACCAATATGCAATCACATTCCACACAGTGTCGGAGCCTACCTACCTTCGCATTATTTCCAGGGGCAACGGCAGCTGTCCGAGGCCGGAAGGCGCACAACCCAAAGTGATGCTCATCATGAGATCATATGTTAGATATGACAGTAATGGCAATCTCTGAAGAGCGATTTTAAATCGCAGTTTAGGCAGATTTCCAGACATCATGCGCACGGCCATTTTAATTGCATCCTCCTCCCCTGCCCATGTGCACGGGGAGGTTTTGACACGGATAGCGACGAGCCTCGCTTAATCCCCATCCGCTCCTGTCCAGCGCCGGAGAATCCCGCTTGTCAAGCGGCGCGTGCAAGACGCACGCGCGGGCTCGAGGCAGACATCGCGTGAAGGGCGCCTGCAGCCTCCGAACGCTGGTGCAGCCGTAAGAGTGCGAAATCGCAGCCCACCAGCCAGTCGTGCAGATAAATAGATGATGTTGGGGGGGGGGGGGAGGAGAAAGCTTGGATGATTGGGCTCCCCACGCACTCTCCCACCATCCCCTCCACCACCCCCCTCCCCGCCCCCAGCTCTCGCACGCCTCTATGCGCTGCTCGCTCGCTCGGCTGACGGCGAATGCATCGCGGCTCTTCAGCTCCTGTCGCACGATAACAACGCAAAGATGAAAAAAGGGATAAAAAAGAGCGTGAAGCCTGCCCGGCCTACCTCTCAATGGAGGAATGGACAAGACGAGCCGGCATCTCGTCCAGCCCAGAGAGAGAGAGATTCGCGCACGTGCACGGGAAGCGCTTGGAACCAGTGGCGTATGCCGGAGCCCTTTACAGTGCCTTCTGGGATTTCATTGTCAAGATCTCGTACGCTTCATCTACGGGCGTTCTGCTCACACAATTGCTCACCGCTCATTGCGTTCGTCTTCCTTTTTGGATAACCAAGCTACGTTAAGGGGTTGCATATATATTTTTTCGCAACTGGATGTTTGTATTTAGTCGGATAACGGGGATTTTTTTTTCAATTTAAATGGAGGTGATTTTAAGATTTGAACACCAAAACACTTGCTCTCATGAATAATGCAGATAGGTCTTTAACATCCACTACATAGCATACAGTTTTTAATGTTCACTTTACAGCGCATTGTTTATTCCCTGTGGAAATAACAATATATCAGCGGGAATTGAACCATAAAATCCATGCAAACTGGCTTAGGTGGTTAGCACTTAAACCATGAAGCCATTTTAGTGGTTTGCAAATAATTGCAAGGGCTGTAATGAGCAATATCAGCACACAGTTATGGAGAGTGGTAAGCCATTGGCGCACAGACACCTAGCAGCTGCTGGCTACTCATTCTGTATTGATGAATTGAAGATGTGTGTTAGAGTGGGCTGGGTGAGTGAAGACTTCAGAGTGAGAGATATTTTGTGCGCATCCCCCCTGAACAAGCTGAGGAGGCAGCAGGAGCTGACAGATTCGTGTGGCAGAGGAAGCCCTCAAAATGAACGCATCCGCAGTTTGACGTCTATATATGGGGGAGGGGGGGGTGGTCGCTTTGTCACTCACATTATGAATAGCGGGTGCATATAATTAATTTATTTTAAATCTTATTTTGAAACTACTGAAAATAAATTAATAAAAATGTCCAGTTTAGGAGTGACGTTGCCCCTCCCCGTGCCATAACCCCCCACGCAAACTCGGCACTAGAACGCATCGGTTTTTCGTTGAAAGGTGCCGTGTGTTTTCTTCATTATCACAGAACCAGATGGCGTTGAAGAAAGCTAAATTTTATTGAAGATGGCTATTGGTGCACATCGCTGTCAAAACGGACTCCCTTAAATCGTGGCCACGCGTCCAGTGTTGTGCAGTTCAGCTTGAGACAAACATGGACGGGATTGTTGGTAGAAGTGAGAGATTGAGGTAGAAGCATGTCACCATTTCAAACCGTAAGATTGCGTAACACGACGCAAGGGCAGCAAAAAGAGCGGTCATGTTTACTGAATACGATGCCTAGAACAAGAGGAAGGGTGGTGGCACATCCAGGCATGGTGGCAAACACCTGTAAGCCAGGACACTATCGAGGGATCACAGAGATTCCATTGCATCTCTCTCCTGCGTGTCATTTTTCTACAGAGTCACGGGAAAAAAACACCTACGAAGGAGTTGGCCAAACACTCAAATTACACAGTGAGTCGTTCCTGGATAAATAAATGGCTATTTGTGACACTCTTCTTATCTACACTTAGAGTATATGTGACTTCGATTATCCACGTGTTTTGGGTGTATGAGAGGTGACTGGGAATTGGCAGAAAATTCATCCTGCTTGCATTCATCGGAGGATAATCACAAAAAGAGGAATTATTTTTTGCAGATATTGTATATTCAGGTAAGATGTGTTTCACTTTTTTTGGAAGCTGGAGGACTTTATAAAATGAGTTTAACGTAGGAAATATAAGTCTTTGCAAGGCTTTGTTAGAGTATGCTCTATGCTTTATTCGGTCTCCATCATCGTTATCATCTTCAGCCATGTTCCATCCACAGCTGGACAAGGGCATCTCCACACCATCACCATTCCTCATGGTCATGTGATATCACAATCCACATCGCTCCTACGCATGAGGTGATCTCATAGCTGTGTCCCTAAGGTGGTCGGTAACCGTAGTGAAAACAAACATGACCTTCAGGTGCTAAAAAAAAGCTAGATTCAGCCAAACCAGCAGGGTCATCAAACTGATTAGGCACCAAATCAGCTCGTATGAGTGTAGTGTCAGAAAATAAAAAAAACATGGACAACATGGACTTTACACGGTAAAGTATTAGATGTCATCCAGGAGGACGTGAATAACCAATGATGTTTGTCATTGTTAATGATGCTATCGTAAAGGTCGTGATGATTTAATATTTATACTGTAGTAGACCAACAAGGAGTGCAGGAAGTTAGGCAGAGCGTTTTGCCTTTTAAGTTAATTATTTTTTTTCTTCAAGAAAGAAATGGAATGACCCCAAAGGAGTAATTTCATTCCATTTCTGGAATGACCCTAAAGGGGTGATTCCATTCCTGAGCCCAGAGGGGCCATTAATCAAATGAAATAACTAACACATTTGGTATTCACGTCATTTTTGGCGGATGTGCAGGAGTTTCAGAGTAAGGGGCAATGTTACTCTGTAACTTTACCCAATTGGGAATAATTTTGGGTGTTATTTTCAAAGTTGGCAAATTTGGTCTGTGACGCCAGTGTCACGGGATCTTTGACGGTCACTGGGAAGCAGGTAGTGCGTATATTCAGTATTAATAAGGAGGCTACTGCGCTCAATTTGCGAACCTCTGCATATCCTACCATTCGGGAGGATATGGCTGAACGAGCATTTCATACAACTGATGTTGTCCTGCCTCAATGTGTCCTGTCTCGAAATGCACCTGGCCTGGCGCAAGCGCCGTTGCGACGTCACCGCCACTTAGTGGCGAATGGCGGTTGTTGTTGATGTTATTGTCTCCAAACACATAAAGTGAGGGAAAAAAATATTTGATCCCCTGCTGATTTTGTTCGTTTGCCCACTGACAAAAAAATGATCAGTCTATAATTTTAATGGTAGGTTTATTTGAACAGTGAGAGACAGAATACCAACAAAAAAGTCCAGAAAAACGCATGTCAAAAATTTTATAAATTGATTTGCTTTTTAATGAGGGAAATAAGTATTTTACCTCCTCTCAATCAGACATATTTCTGTCTCCTAGGTGTCTTTTATATAGGTAACGAGCTGAGATTAGGAGCACACTCTTAAAGGGAGTGCTCCTAATCTCAGCTTGTTACCTGTATAAAAAACACCTGTTCACAGAAGCAATCAATCAATCAGATTCCAAACTCTCCACCGTGGCCAAGACCAAAGAGCTCTCCAAGGATGTCAGGGACAAGATTGTAGACCTAGACAAGGCTGGAATGGACTACAAGACCATCGCCAAGCAGTTTGGTGAGAAGGTGACAACAGTTGGTGCGGTTATTCGCAAATGGAAGAAACACAAAAGAACTGTCAATCTCCCTCGGCCTGGGGTTCCATGCAAGATCTCACCTCGTGGAGTTGCAATGATCATGAGAACGGTGAGGAATCAGCCCAGAACGACACGGGAGGATCTTGTCAATGATCTCAAGGCAGCTGGGACCATAGTCACCAAAAAAAGAGTTGGTAACACACTATGCCGTGAAGGACTGAAATCCTGCAGTGCCCGCAAGGCCCCCCTGCTCAAGAAAGCACATATACATGCTCGTCTGAAGTTTTCCAATGAACATCTGAATGATTCAGAGGACAACTGGGTGAAAGTGTTGTGGTCAGATGAGACCAAAATGGAGCTCTTTGGCATCAACTCAACTCGCCGTGTTTGGAGAATGAGGAATGCTACCTATGACCCCAAGAACACCATCCCCACCGTCAAACATGGAGGTGGAAACATTATGCTTTGGGGGTGTTTTTCTGCTAAGGGGACAGGACAACTTCACCGCATCAAAGGGACGATGGACGGGGCTATGTACCATCAAATCTTGGGTGAGAACCTCCTTCCCTCAGCCAGGGCATTGAAAATGGGTCGTGGATGGGTATTCCAGCATGACAATGACCCAAAACACACGGCCAAGGCAACAAAGAAGTGGCTCAAGAAGAAGCACATTAAGGTCTTGGAGTGGCCTAGCCAGTCTCCAGACCTTAATTCCATAGAAAATCTGTGGAGGGAGCTGAAGGTTCGAGTTGCCAAACGTCAGCCTCGAAACCTTAATGACTTGGAGAAGATCTGCAAAGAGGAGTGGGACAAAATCCCTCCTGAGATGTGTGCAAACTTGGTGGCCAACTACAAGATACGTCTGACCTCTGTGATTGCCAACAAGGGTTTTGCCACCAAGTACTAAGTCATATTTTGCAGAGGGGTCAAATACTTATTTCCCTCATTAAAATGCAAATCAATTTATAACATTTTTGACATGCGTTTTTCTGGAGTTTGTTGTTGTTATTCTGTCTCTCACTGTTCAAATAAACCTACCATTAAAATTATAGACTGATCATTTCTTTGTCAGTGGGCAAACGTACAAAATCAGCAGGGGATCAAATACTTTTTTTCCCTCACTGTATGTGTATAAAATACAATGGATACAATGCCACGTCGTGAATTGGCACAGGAAAAAATGAATCGGCAATCAATTGGAATTGTACACTAAGTAGGTTCGTGTGTGTGGGAATCACTTGCATCAATCGAAATAAAGTATCCCGGGAAGCGGAGATTGGAACAGTACAATTTGAGAACTTGATCATGATTTTAGCTGAAGATAGGGCAGAATGATTTCTCTGAAATAATATATTTGATAACATCACACATTTTAAATTACGTGTCGGTGACACTTTGGCTGGGTGCATTTCGTGGTCATGAGAAGGAACGCAAGGTTGTTGGTTGGAGGTCATCATGAAAACGGTCATTTTATCTTTTGTTGTTGGAGGGTGGCTACTGTCAGCTGTCCATCCATTGTCATCATTCAGGAGTCTCCTCCATGGAGTCTGAA